TGTTTACTTTCTTAGCACTTTCTTTACATTGGCCGTGTGTGTATGTCCAACCTCTCATTCCCTATCTACTGTGACACTAAAGATACCTGAATCCATTTTTATCTGATACTAAATCTTTTACATGAAATCAAAAGTAGGTTCATGCAGGTTTGCTTTTGTCAGAATGAATGAATTAAGCTAGACATTTATGTACTTGTGATATAGGCTGTCTGTGTTTTTTTGTTTGTTTGTTTTTGTGTTTTTTTGGTGGCTGGCCGGTACAGGGAACTGAACCCTTGACCTTGGTGTTACAAGGCTGTGCTCTAAACAACTGAGCTAACCAACAGCCTCTGTGTTCATTTTACATGTGCTCAAACATACTATTGTGGGGTGAAAACAGGACACAACAGAATTTTTGGCGTCTTGTTACATGTGAAGTTGTTCAGGAGGTGTAAAAATTTTTGAGGTTGCTTGCCAAGGGTGATTTACAGTGGGAATTTCCAGCTACAAATATATGAAAAGATGCCGATGGGTTTGGCTCTTCAGTTCTCCAAACTAACCTTGAGTTAAAAAGTCCCCTTGGCAGATATTCTTAAGATATGAATTGATGCATATTTAACAAATGGATAAACATAGGCTTGTTTAAATTTTTAAAATAGCCTTTAGGTATTTCTTTCAAATGTTCCTTTTCTTTCTAAAAACTTGTGTAGTAGTGCTCACATGCTGATATTTACCATCTTGCTAGGTAAAAGTAGTAACTGTATCAAACACATCTTGGCCTGTTTTTATTTAATAATAGTGCAGAAATAAGATGAAGTTGGAAGAAAAAATGTGGTGATAAGTTTACACTATTTTATTCCATCTTTAATTTCATATAATAAGTGCAACCCTTCCCCCTTCTTTTCTTCTAGCTGATTTTGGAGACTATAATCAATTTGATTCTCAAGATTTTCTCAGAGAATATGTGCTATTTCCTATGGTAAGTGTAATTTTCTTTTTCTTAATTAATTTTCTGTCATCTTTGGACATTTAGTTATTTTCTTTGAAAATCTCACAGGATTTTATGTACTCATATTTCCTGGGAAGGAAAGTTTATGCATTTGCGAAGTAGGGACAAGTTTTATAAAACACGCTGTGAGAAAGTAAAGATGCCTCCTCTCTCCTTGAGATGTTTCCCTGATTTCTTTTTCAAATATTTCCTTGTTAGTATATGGAAATGCTACTGATTTTATGTATTTCGATTGTATCACCTGCAACATTAATGAATTCATTGATCAGTTCTAACAGTTTTTTGGTGGAGTCTTTAGGATTTTCTATATGTAAGATGATGTTATCAGTAAACAGAGACAATTTCACTTCTTCCTTTCTTACCTAGATGCTTTTTATTTCTTTTTCTTTACTAATTGCTTTAACTTGGACTTCCAGTGTGATGATGAATAAAAGTGTTGAGAGTAGGCAGAAAACAGTCCCATTTACAATAGCATAAAAAATAAAATAAAATATGTAGGACTAAATTTAACCGAGGAGGTGAAAGACTTGTATACTGAAAACTGTAAAACATTATTGAAAGAAGATGAAGAGGACA